CCTTCTCAGACAAAGACTTCACGGCTATCCATTCTCTCAGATGGAATGTTGGTTAGACACACTTTTAAATTGGAAAGGAAATGAAAACAAGCTGTAAAAAAACCAAACTGTAACTAATAAAATTGCTGTAACTCATAAAGCAGCCTTGTACAGAAAATGTTTGAACCCTACTATCTTTGCCTTCTGCCTGTCTAAGCAAGACCTTAACTTTGAACTTCCCTGGATCCGTGTTTCCCAGACCGCCATTCCCAGCTTTGGGCTCCATAGACTCTATACTTAATCGTATTTTCCGAATGTTGTTATTCAAGGTTGACAGCACCCATCAGAGAGCTTGAGGCCATTGGCTCCAATGGGTTCAGCTGTGACCAGAAGCAAGGTTTTACATTCCAGCGTCCTCAGCTGGAAACATGGAATAACAGAACTTACCGGTCAGGATATGGGTGAGGTTTGAATGTGACAGGCTTCTAAGCCACCTGTGTGTACACACACACACACATACACACACACACACACAGTGTGGGTCCAGAGTTCCTCTTGTCAACCCTGACACTCTACTGGTGTTCGCACACGACCGCTTGGCTCCCCCGACCCCACAGATCACAGATGGCCAAGGGCCCGGTGCTCACAACATTGAGGCATCCCGGGGAGGGAAGGCAGGGACCAAGGCAATACCTACGGCTCTTCACCCAGCCCCTTGGCTTACTGGGCCTGCTTACGTTTGTCAAGAGGATCACCAACCCACAGGACTTCACTAACACAGCCCCACCACACCTCATGGTGGCAGAGCTGTGACATTAGCAAGGCGCTCCCAACCTCAGGACTCTCTCCTTCACCGCGTCGTGCCTCCTGGTCTTTAAAAATATCCATCAGGATTGCCTGTGACCCAAAGCAAGGACACCGAGCTGTCACAGGGCAGGAGCAGCTCTCTCCCTCAAGATCCCACCCCAGCGCTGGTGGCAGTGCAGGGAGGGAGGCAGATCTCTGAACTCTCCTCCCTCTTGCTCCCATCTTAACCGAGTGAGGAGAAATGAAGCAGCTTGCTTAAGATAACACAGAGAACTGGTTCTGGAACCCAGATATACTCAGGTAATTCGCAACAGGAGTTGAGAACCAGTCAGTGCCCGGGAGAACGGAGGCTAACGCAGAGGGGGAGGCCAGGGACAGGACAAAGATCATGAACAGTGGTTCTGATTCGCATGGGAAAGGCACTTAAATGGACAGGTGAGAGGGACAAAAATGGAGTGGAACCCCACGGGAAGGCATTACCCACCAGGGCTTAGCTGTAAAAAAACAAAATAAAATTTTCATTCGTCTAGATTTAGTTTTCTTTAAAGACTTATTCTCTTGTTTGTCCTGCATGTAATGTGTATATATGAGTATATAAAGGAGAAACAAGGTGACAACTCAAAAAAAAAAAAGAACCTTTTAATAAAAATTACTTATAAAAATCTTAATAAATTTCAAAGAGCAAGATATTTCTTATTACATTTATAAAAGAACATTTGGTCCTTTTACAAAAAGCTTCCTTTTAATTTAAATACATTTATTATTTACAGATTAAACATAAAATATTATCTATAGTTGCAAAGCATATTGCACATTACAGAGAGAAGCATTTGTGTATTTCAGTAAGTTTTCCCAGAGTTTCCAACTCTAGATTTTGTAAAAACAGATTTACCTTTCTTGTGCATAATAAATAAAAATGCAGCTTGTGTTTTGCTATTTAAAACTAAAACAAAATAATCTTTAAAAATATTATTCCTCTGCCTCTCAGAAGGAGATGGGGGTGGGGAATGAGGGAGTTCCACAGGTACTTGACACTTTCGCCAGATTCGCACCAAGTTCAAGCGGGAGCATCGCCCCGAGCCCTGGGAAACCTGGGCCCCGGCCCAGCCCCCTTCTCACTCTCACAGGGTCCCTGCCCTGCAGGGAAGAGGCACTACAGTAGGAGCCGGATGTCTGGGAATGGAAAAGGAAAGCTTGGGGTTTTCTTCCAATGGCCCTGCTCAGCCACCCTGAGGCTAAGGCAATCACTCAGCCCTACCTTTTAACCAGCAGGAAACCTGAACAAAAGATTTTTGTTTTTGTCAAAAGAGAAAGACCTCTGGAGCCCTCTACAAAGAAAAGAATGTCTGATGTTGAGCCTGCAAAATGCTAAGTGAGGAACTGCAGTTGGCTCCTTCAGTAAACTGAGCTAAGAAACAGTTAAGAGGGGTATTTCCCTCGGGTGGAGGAGGAGGGAGCAGGGGAGGGCGATCGAGGCCCTCAGATGGCACAACTGCGCTTACCAACCGGTAACTACAGACTCTTCTCTCAGAGTCACCTGCACAGACACCGCACTGGTGCATTTTTCTTTAAATACACAGAAAACGAAGTATCACGTGCACAGTCCTCAAGGCAGGACAAGCAAAGCCCAGGTCATCATCAGAACCTGGGGATTCAGTTACAAAAAGAAAGTCCTGGCAGAAGAGCTGGGAAAAAACTGGAGGAAAGGTTTAAAAACAGAAGTTGGCTTTTCACAACTGGAAAGCTAGCAAACCCTTCCTTCGTCTCCTGCTCTTCCAGAAAGGATCCCTCAGTCGCATCACCCAAAGCAGTGAAGCCTGGCTGGAACTTTGCCGTGGGAGAATCCGAATCCATCTAGCCTAACTTTCTACAACGGCTCTGTGAACCATCTTCATGACCAGAGCTGACACCAGACGCTGGCTACACGTGCGCATAGGAAGACAGTCCGGCTCACAGCTGCTGCAAAAGATGAACTCCATTCAGATTCAAGACATTCCTGGGGCAAAGCACAGGGACTTTCTCTGCCGTTCCCCTTCTCAAGCCTCCCCAGTCCAGCATTTTAGAACACAGAACAGAAGGAAGGGCAAAAGCCCTGCAAGATATTTCACAGTTGTTGACATTCTGATTTTCAAAAAGAAAACAAGTAAGCTGCTTTGAACTTGGCTCAAAGAACCTTCTTTTTATGACTGGCATTAGACAGCATTCTGGCATCTAGCCCCACAAATCACTGACTACACAGCATCAAACCTTAGACTGGGTAGTCGGGAAGCTCAATGACCAGGATTAATACGCAGTAATTCACTCCCCCTCAGTCTCACCAATTGCAATTAACTCCAGTACCCACAAGTCAAGAAGGATTGAGATGAGACTTAATGCAAAACATGTCTCACGGTGGCCTGCAGCCCCTGAGATGCATCTGCAGGACTCGGGGCACAATGGTGCTGCCAGGCGCAGACCCCTATTCCAAGGGCACAGGAGAAAGAGACGCCCAAGCTTGCTCAGAGTGACAGGCGAAGGGCCCAGATGAGAAGAGGGACACTGGAGTGTTCACATACCATTGCAGCCACAGACACAGGAGGGAGAGGAAACAAAGAGAAAACAGAGTGAGGAACTCCCTTCTGTGATATGTCACATTCTCCCAAATGGGTCACTAACAATCCCACCTCTCTTTGCCCAGAAAAAGGGTACAGGTACATGTGTGTGTGTGTGTGTAACATTTTCACTAGGTCAATGGAAATATTTAAAAAATATATAGCATTCTCAAAGTTTTCTATTCAGTAGATGAGATGCTGTTGATAAAGGGAATAATGCTTCTGAAATGAGAAAAAAGCAAAATAGAAGCATTCAATTGTTTCTACTTTAAAATAATTTGCACAGTGAATGTCTAAAAGATAGAGATGACACATTTATTACTAAAAATCACCTTTTTGAAAATCTCAAAGAACTGAATTATGTATCTATTTTAAAAACAGTCACTTAAATTTTCAAGAAGGAATAAAATGTCTGCTTTTTGACTAAAAGTGCCATGCAATCTTAGATGGTGCTTATTTCCAGCTTTAAAAAGACCAAAATGAAATCATCTGAAGTGTGCAGTGACAGGTAAGAATGTGCTGTGTGAGGCTGGAGGTTTTTTGGAGACTTCCTTCCTGCCCTTTCTACCGGGTGCATTTCGACCCCTGATGTTGCGAGACAGTCAGAACAGGAGTCAAGGCCGCTCTGCTTTGCGCGAGGCAGGTGTGTATCGGTGTAGGTTCAAAGAGATGCTGCCGTTCTAGCTAAGGAAATGATAACAAGAAAGAAAGAAGGCATTTTAGCACAATTCCCCCTTCTGTATGCTTCCTTAAATCAACAGGTTGAAAGGCAAGGACTGGCTAAGCAATTTCCAGGATTTTCCTAACACCCACCCCATCCCCCTTTTCCCCTTGTCCTGCCATGTGGCAACACCAAACAAGCCTGCTGAAACCACAGCAATAGCTTCGACATCCAGTGGTCCAAACCAAAACCCATATAAGGCACTAATCTAAAGCCTGTATTACATAGAAAAATGGCTCAAGAATGCTAGAAAGTCATCTGATCTTTCTCCCTGACTTAGCTAATTGGCACTAGACACAGGAAACAAAAACAAAACAAACCTCTAACACAAATAAGGTCAGAATTCAGAATCCTTGGTTAGGAAATTACAAGAAAGATGGCAGCTCAGACAATCTTAGGTATTTTTCTCTCCCTAAAAGGCACCTGGTTCTGGAACTATGGGAGTTCATCAGGTAAGTTCATGTCCAAAATAAACACAAAATGCTATCCAAAGGATCTGTTAACCTCTTACACCATGACATAACAACTTAAGAGAATAAGACCGGTAAGACCATTATTCTTAAGCAAATAATCTGTAACACTGTGAAGATTATGTGGGGCATAAATGAATAACTGATGGGTTTTTTTCCCATGATGTGATCCAAAATCATGGTTGGATATCTGGGGGAGAGCCCGATTATCCAGTAAGAGTAAGTATGACATTTTCAATGCAAGTAAGTAGGAATACCAAGTGAACCTCAGGCCCCTTTGCATGGAATTTCATTCCCAGTCCTCTGACAAAGAAGTAGCTAGCTGGGTGTGGTGGCGCATGCCTGTTAGTCTCAGCTCCTCAGGAGGCTGAGGCAGAAGGATCACTTGAGCCCAGGAGTTCGAGACCAGCCTGGAGAATACAGTGAGACCCCATCTCAAAAAAAAATAAATAGTAATAATAAAGAATAAAAAAGTAGCAATACTGCAGTATAGCAGGTGCCTGAAAAGTGAAGAGTCTTAGATTCTAAAGTATGAAGCTGTGAACATCAATCCAAAGATGCTCCAACTGTTGTGCTTAGCAACATCAGCATGTCATAAGAAGCCAATTTCCATATACCTTCTCATTTTAAATTATATCCTTAGGAAAAGCAGGGCATTTTATTGAATGGAAAAGGAACACTGAAGTGTGCAAGAATTAACCAGACGTGGGTGAGGAGTTGGCCAGAAATTCCTCCACCAGCAAGGACGGCCAGACGTCCATCCCCTTCCACTTCAGACTGGATTTTGGTGTTCAGTTGTTTAGGTCTGCTTTAAGATGAGGCCACACAGAGGAGAGCAGATCAAATCAAGCCAACCATCTGATCAATCTGCCGCATGTAGATACTCTTTAAGGGCAGGGAGTATCTCCTCTCATCGGGAACACGATTGCACTAGAAAGACAAAAATGAGGGAAAGTGTGAATTTTGAATTAAAACCCCACATGTTGATCTCTCAGGAAATGCGGCTGGATGACTTGATCCAGGGTTTGACATTTGGGGGCAGACGCCTGTTGCCGGAGCTGTCCTGGCATTGCAGGACGGTTACAGGATCCTGGGCCTCTCCCACTAGGTGACAGTGGCAACTCCTGCCCCTCAGCTGAAACCATCAAAAACGTCTCCAGGCACTGCCCAATGTACCTTGAGGAGCAAAATCACGCCCGGTTGAAAACCACTGAGATAATACCTCACCCTAAAGGTAAGGAAATGGGAGATCCAGGGAGGCTAAAAGACATAACAGCAGGAGCTTAGCCAAGGCCAGGACTAAAAGCTGCATCCCACGGGTCCTTAATCCACCCAGAATTTCAGAAAATATTTTAGCTATTTGAAAATACTGTGTTTTTCTGAGTTATGTTCTTCTCATTCACTATTAAATTCTAAATGTTTAAGATTACTACTTTTTTTTTAATTAAAGATCTTTTTTGCCCCTCAAAGGAGACGTGGGTCTTGAGAATCAACCGAGGGTGCTACCCCTGGAAGCAGCTATCCATACACATCCATTACATGCTGCTTCTCCAAGGAAACGTTTTCCCCGTGCTCTGTGCTTGAACTCTCTACGCCTTGCTCCTCACGCCCGACAAGATCGAGACTGGCAGGGCCTTCCGCTGGTCCCAACCTGCCCCCGCCACCCCCACCGCTGTGCTTCTGCAGCTTCTGTTCCTTCTGCCTGAACGCCCCTTCCTGGGAAGCTCCTCATCCTTCGAGGACCTGCTACAGACTGACCTCTCAGTGAACCCCTCCTGGAGCTGCTCAACAGCACTCCTGACAAAGACCCAGGGAGGAACCGGGACCCCCTCCGACGGTCTTATCCAGTGGCTGAAGGGCCCAGGCCTATTAGTGAGTGTGGCAGGTTGCAGGTGTCTCCTTCCTAAAGACAAGACACGGCCTGGGTCCAAATCCTGGCTCCACCACACTGCTCCGCTGTGTGACCCAAACCTCTCCACGCCTCCCTTTCTCCATCTGTAAAATGGGGACATTAAAAGTACCCACCCCCCAGAGAGGCACCCCCAGAGAGTAACAAGGAAATAAGCTGACATACATATGCATTTAGAACAGTGCTGGCGTATGATTAAGATGACGTGACGTGTTGGCTATTATTAACTCTTCTCTCATTCATCCTCCTTCCCTCCTTCTCGATTATGCTCTGTCCACCTAATCAACACTCCGAGGGCTGACGGGGGTGTAGGGGCCTGTCTACGCTCTGGCCTGTCAATTCAGCCCAGAGCCTGACGGTGCCGACCCTCCCTGGGGCACCAAGGGAAGGTGAAGCACAGCCTGTGACGAAAGGGCGCCCTGGCCACGGCCAGCGGCCTGGGGGAGGTGGCTGAACTCTGACAACCGGGGCGCCGTAGGACAGCAAGACTGGAGATTGACTGGGTCCACGTTTCCCTATCCTCACTTCCAAACCATCCTACTTGATTAAATCAGTACAGCTACCCCGGACTTCCACTAGGGGCACAGGACTTTCATTTCCAAGTCTTTCCCACCGCTCGCCAGGCTAATCTAGGCCTGCCGAGTGAAGTCCTACCTTAAACGAAAGTGAGCGCCTGCTGTACGCGGGAGGGTCTCCATTGAAAGACACAGTGACTCTGACTGCCTTTCTTCCCTCTCCGGCTAGAAGGTGGTTTGCCCCTCCAGGCCCCCTGGTGGGTTACATCAGCAGCCCCCTCCCCCTCTGGCTGCCAAGGACAAGCTTCAGAAGAGCAGGAGGAGGGGCAGGGCCGAGTACAGACCCCGCTGCCCCCCTTCCGGCAAGGTCACGGGAGCCAGATCTGAGCAGTGGCTCCTGCCACTCCCTCCCACAGGACTCCTCTGTCCAGGTTCCTCTGACCACCCTCTCTGCCCCTCTACAGCCAGGAGTGACAGGGCCGCCACTGCTTCTGCAGTTTCCCTACACCCTGACAACTCCTACCAAGCGGTCTCTTTATGAAACTCTTCAAACCACCCCATCTGAGTGTGCCATCAGTTTGCGGTCAGGAATTCTGAATGACAAAGGAATTACGGGCACTTTCTCTTCCTCCGCACACAAACCACCCCCGGAACTCACATTGGAGCTAGAGTTGATGACTTTTAACTCGTGGGGTTTAGGCCTGTGCACAGACTTTCCCTCTTGGTCCTGTGTTCCCTCTTCCCAGAAGAAGTCCTTCCAGGGTGACTCCCGAAGATGTTTGTCCACAGACACGATGTGTCCCTCTGTTGTAAACATGTATCTGGTTCCAGATTTGTGCACTGGATTCTCCTCATCAAACAGCTAGAAGGAGAGACAGAAAGAAAAGATACAATCAGTAACTGTAACAGTTTGGAACTAACTCACAGGAGTGTGTCCCAGCTACTCAGGGAGCAGAACCTGCTTGGATCTCACACTTTTCACTGACACCCAGATGAAAAGCCATCGATTAACAACCGCAGTTCCCGGCCCGGGCTGCAAGGCAGAATCACCTTGGACGCCTGGACCTGCCCCCACCCTACACACACAGCCCACCCAGATTTAAAGATTCAGAAACTCCGTGGCTAAGACCCAAGCGCAGGGAGTCTACAGAAGCTCACTGGATGATTCCCATAAGCAACCCTGTGAGTTTTCAGGTTGGAATTCTAGAACTACCCCCAACACACACACCTAGAACCTGTAAATGCTGGAGAGGAAGCACATGTCTTATTTGTCACCCTATCCCCAGGGCCCAGCAGAGAGTCCAACACATCTGCCAATACTCAGATCATTTCTTGTGTCAGAACATGGGTTGGGCTCAACATGGATTGGGCTCTGAGGATGCAATGGCCATGAGGCAGTCCTTTCCCTCAACCATGGACACGGTACGGGATAAAGAGGGTGCGGCAGGTGCACCCAGAAAGAACCCATAACCCAGTATCAGACGAGGCAGTGCAGGAGAAGGCAGAAGTGCGGTGAATGTTGAGTGAATACTTAGCAATCCTTAGAGATGGAAGAAACCTTATTTGGTCACCTAAACTTGTCACAGACAAGGAAAATGGAGACTGTGCAGCTTGTCAGTATTTACACAGTAACAGGAGCAGAATGGGGTGGACCCCAGGTTTTCTGCCCCTGACTCTGCATTCTTTCCCCTCACACAACCTATGGGGTCTCCTTCCTTTGCTCCAGAACTTGCCCTGTCGGTGTCCTGACACCGGTGGCTGCTGGATGGAGCTACTCGGCCAGGCTCTGACCAGCCTCTTCAGCTGACCTGGGCCGCCTGCACTGAGAGCAAGGACCGCCGCACACCAAGGGATTTGGCCGCAGGACAGCTGCCTCCCACTGGCAGGGCCACATGGGCTGCTGGTGGACACGCCTCCTCTGTGAAAAGTGACTCCAGACACAAAAGAGTCGTCTTAAAGCACTGGACCAGTAGCTCCAACACCTGGCTTGTACAGAATCACTGGAGGCACTTGTCAAAATTATAGATTCCTGAGCCCACTTATTCTAAAGATTCTAACTCAAGGGCCCCAGGGTGATTCTGACCCACCCAGCCCCAGGCCTGGGAACCACGGAACTGAGTAACGCAACTTATCACAGCTGCTATCCCTGAGCCTCAGCCCCGGTTCGGTCGCCACGCTGTTTCCTAACCAGGAAATCCCACCCCTCTGGGCCTTTGGAAGGCTTCTTTTTTATGTAGCCGTACTGAGAGAAGTATGCTACATATAAAAAAGCAAGCAGAGGGCAGGAGAGCAGGCACAGGTGCACAGGCACCTACACATATGTGGCAGACCAACGAGGTGGAAAGAGCACTGGACAGGGAGTCAGGACCGTGGTTCACGCCTCAGCTCTCCAGTCACCCCAAGACCTCAGGCAAGTCACCCGACCTTCCCGGGTAGGCTGCAGTTCCCGAGAGGGAAGAACGAATGCTGACTAGGTGATCCCAAAGGCTCCTTCCGGGTCCGAAGTCCTCCCTTCTCTCCCGCCCCCACGCAAATGCACGTCTGAGGACGTGTGTGTGGACCGAGACGGCCGGGCTGTGGGTCGTGGCCAGGATCGCGAACATCACTAGAGCGGAGGAAGAGCCATAAACACCACACTGTCCCTCAGACAAGCCCCCCAGACGCCGCGCTAACACTGCTCCTCTAACGACCGTCACCAGCATGTCACGCAATTTGTGATCGTGGTTTGTTTCTTTGTTTACTTGACGAACGACTCCTCCATGAGCTGGAAACCATGAAGGAAGACAGCAATATCCTTTTGTTCTGATGGGGCTTCTATCCCTGGGAACGCACTGGCAGCCGTGCGCAGTAAATATCTGCGAGGTGACAGTCTGCGCGAATGCTTGCTCTGTATTTAGTACTGCCTGTGTACTAAATGCTCCCATGTTACTCTCGCCACACACTTACCAGATACAAGTATTTACAGGTCTCACTGAGAAAGAAGCTCTCCATCCGGTCCTCCGTGGACTTGTCGATGACGTGATGCAGCGTGGCGTACCCACATCTACGAGACAATTACCCCGTCAGTCCTGCCTCTCCTCCTTCCCACCTGCTGGTTCAGTCAAGAAGCAGAAGTATTGTCTTAACAGAATAATCAAGCAAATCCTCTAACACCGTATTAAAAAAAAAGATGTTTACATTGAAGGGCTCTCCTGAGTTATCTATAGAATGATTTAAAAGTGCTTTGGCTGCTAAATCATCAGATTAGCTGCAGTCTGGAGGTGGGGGATTAGTGGAAAATGCTGGCCAAAAGCTTAACATGGCACCAAGAAAATGACTGGCAACATATTTAGAAGGACTAATTTAAATTTTTAGTACCAATACTCTTATAACTGACTTACTATTTGGATATTCTAAAATAGTATTTTGTAAGAAAATATTTATAGTGGGTAAGAAAAAAAGCAGGTGACAAAATTGAAATATAGAGTATGTTTTTATATATACATATATACACACATCATATACACAAATATATAAAAAAGATTGTAAATATATGTACTTCAATGCTGACTATGGTTATCACTGTATGTGGAGATTACAGTGAAAATATTCTACCTCTTTATATTGTCTGTACTCCCTAAACAGTTTAGTGTATGTACTGTTTGAATAACTAGGGGAAATAAGTTACTTAAAAGGAACACACATAATCTGCTGGAACCTCACAGAAAAAAAAAGGCGGGGGGCGGGGGGCAAGCAATTCCCACTATAACGGAAAGGTTCTACTACACCGAAAGATAGACAATTTCCCTATGAAATTAACATTAATGAGCTATTCTATACATTCGAATGCAAACCAGGATAATATTTCCCCAGAACAATTCAAAGTAAATCAAAGCTGGCCGACAGAAAAAGAAAGGAACTTAGACAACTGACTTGACTTTTGTGTACTTTTCCAGACTCTGCAGAATATCCATTCCTACATGGAGGTAGAAGGGATTCTTGGTTGCCTAGAGAGAACATGAGAGAACGTGATCCAGCAGGGCGTGGAAGACATGCCATCGACAACCACCACGGTGACTGCAGGGATTCCCCAAGGAGAGGAGTCACTAGCCAAAGGAAGAAACGGGGCCCGATTCACTTTTTATCTTGGAGGGTCACAAAGGTTAAAGGACTAAGGTATCTGTCAGTTCACATCAAAGCATGCCTATGATTTGGCTACGTTTAGCCAGGGTAAGACAATACGTTCCAGGGTAAAACAATACTCTCCTTTGGTTCTCCTGAGCCCCACCATGGTTAGAAATAAAACAATGCCCACCCTGACAGTACCGTATCTGAGAACAAATCCAGTTTCTGTCTTGCCTCAGAACTCTCTAGAAACTCACAGTGCAGGCACAGGAAACAGGACCTTGTCCCCATTCCAATTACAGCACTGTGAGGAAAGGCTAATGGGAACAGACTTTCAAAACTATCTAAAAGAGGCCTCCACACTTTCCTCTCTAATCACCCTAAGAAATCAGTCCTGGGGTTGCTTACTCTTCTTGGCACGTGCTCTTAGATGATTTTGTTAGGGAAAAAAATTGCCTGAGAAGATAAGCCTTTTGCCCAACAAGCAGTTTAAAAGTTGCGGATCATCTTTAATTCATGCCTAGTGCCACCTTGCAGCAGCAAAAGCAAACAACGACAAGGTTAGCCGTCTCTGGATTAAAAGAGCACAGGGTGTGGCTTCCAGGGACAAAGCTGTAAAGTGCAAGATTTCTCTGGATCCTAAGAAAATAGTCAACGTGAAGAAGAAGCTGAAAATAGCAAAGAGGCAGTGACAGAAACAAAGAAGTATAAAGTCACAGGCAACAGGACTAAGCTTAAGAGGATCCGTCAGACAGCAGCAGGCATGCCGTCCTGAGTGTGTACAGCCCTGCTCTACACTCGGCCCAGGGAGGCCAAATAGGAGGCTATCATCTTTTCCCTTTTTTGCGAGATTACCTAAAACTCATGAGGTCTCTCTTTAGGCATAAGGACTATTACTAGTTCATAGGATTTTTCCCCTTTCTTCGTCTAAAAGCAAATGGCAAAGATTCAGTATAAAAAATTATTGAATAAATCCAAACCATAGCACTAATCCTACTACCAGAGCATGTAAAAATCAGGTTTCATTTGCCAGGGCTTACCCACTGTGGGAGTCTGTTGTAGGCCTACTGAATTGCACTGAAGGCCAACTTCTTAGAAAGCTCACAGCTTCTGCTGCTGTATTTGTGAATGGATAAGGACTCTCAGTGTGTATATATGTATGGCATGCACAGAAGTATAAATATCTGGCTTCAACTATCAGGGAAAAGACATTTCACAGTTCAAGTGACACTCCCTCTGGCACTAAAATAATTTCATAAAAGATGAACACTGTATGTTGTTTTTTTTTTCTTCCTTCCCCCCATTTTTTTTTTAATAACATTAAACAAAAATAGGCATTCAAATGAATCCAAGATTATTTCCTTTACCACCAAGAAAAAAAATTGTCTTTTTCTCTGAATAATTATTACACAGACCAGGGTTCCATAGCACATTAGCACAAAATTGTATCCTAAAAAGGTTTTTATTTTTTGAGACAGTCTCATTCTGTTGCCCTGGCTAGAGTGCAGTGGCGTCATCATAGCTCACAGCAACCTCAAACTCCTGAGCTCAAGCAATCCTCCTGCCTCAGCCTCCTGAGAAGCTGGGACTACAAGGCACACGCCACCATGCCTGGCTAACTTTTCTACTTTTCATACAGATGGGGTCTCATTCTTGCTCAGGCTGGTCTTGAACTCTTGAGCTCAAGCAATCCTCCCAACTCAGCCTCCCAAAGTGCTAGGATTATAGGCCTGAGCCACCATGTCCGGCCCACTAAAAAAGGGATTTTTAATCAAATAAATTTAGAACACAACTGAACACAAAATCTTCCTCTTGAATATTTAAAGATGTGAGATATAAGTCCTATGGTAAAAACATGATTCAGCTTTGCACAACATGAGGTTAAAAAACATTTGACCACAGACGCCTTCTCTGTCCTGTGAAGCCATGAATGACACTGAGCACTAACAAGACTACAGACAGGTGGTAACTCTATCAGTCACTATGAAACAACATAATTCTAAATCAATCAGCAAATGTTTATTAAGAACCAATGGCTATGGGTCTTCCTAGTGTTTACACACAAACTACTATTTGGCAAACTCTAGTACCTGGTAGAGGAGATAAGTGGATTCCACTAACTCTGGTCTCAGCGGGTAGAAGAGAACATCAGGGGCCTGCAGCTGCCAGTTGTACCTTTCAGGGAGGGCACCATAGCGCTTCCATATGGCATAGTAAAAGGCATGGAGGCAGATGGCATCTTCCACATCTCCTATCAGCACCTAAGAAGAGGACACAGGTCATCGGGCTAAGACACTTTTCCCAGAGTGGCAAGACATGACACAAAGGCCCTGAGCTCTCCTCCACCCCTCAGTTCTTATCTGACCTACAAACATGGCTGAAGACAAAACCAATCCAAACGTGACAACCCAGACAAACAGACACCCTCCCTATCTGGCAAGCAATGCCAAATTGATGGGAATTGCGTATGAAAAGAGGTTAAACATACTAATGAACAAAGAATAAACAACTGAGAGATGGGTTATCCAAACATTACACAGTTACATTTCAAGCATGGTTTTGCACTTACATAGTATGTCTCTGTTCAATATTCTGAGGACTAATTTCACAAACAGAATGATCAAGACATGCTGTGCTATTAACCTCTCAAATCTAAAGGAGCTATAGAATGCTCTGGTATCAAAAAAAAGAAAGGGGAAAGGGGAGTCCCTTTCTAATGATGGCTTGTTCTTAGCAAATCTGATTGCAAAATACCTGCAGTCCAGGGAAGAAGGCCTGCAGAGAGTCAATCCAGGTGTTCATCAGCTGCCCACTGAACATGTTCACGTTGACATAGAGTGGGGGGTCTCCTTCTCCTTCATTGCAGGCTTCCCGCCTACCAACCCAAGCAGCACATTCAAAGGTGAAAAGAAAGCTCACTGATGGACCTCTAGCTCTGTTTCTCCAGCAGCCCCTGGCAGTTTCATTTAAATGGAATTGACATTAACTTTTTCTAACTCATTCCTTAAACCCTTGGAGATAGACTGTCTGTGTCTATACTAGACTCTAGCAGAAGATAATACTTACCATAGGATAATAGTTCTTAACTCAACCATTGTAATATATTAAGATTTCACAGTATTTTGCAGAAAGCACTTTGACATTCAGGTTTAAGAACCCTGCCACGTAACAGAATTCAGTCTACAGTGTGGGCCTAAGTTGGATTTGACCTGAGCAGGGAAGCTTGGTTCTTTCAGTACAAAAAGTCTCTTCTCTACTAAGGTCCTACGGCAAAGGTCTGGAAGAATGTATTGGATCAAGACACTCAGTTTAGTTTGGAACTTTCAAAAGCAAAAATAATTCAACTGCAGCCAAAAGGCCTCTTACTTAACCGCAGCATTGACACAGGTGGTTCCTACAACAGCTGAAGTAAAAATGGGTACAAGAAAATCCTTCCAAGCAGAAGGCTCAGTAACTATAACTTGCACTGGCTACTTAATATACAAATGGATACCTATAAAGACAGACCTGGGGAAGACAGAATGACACCAGGGTAGAAGCCACTGGGGCTTCTTATGGCTCTCTCTCTCCTGCACAACTAAGAAATGGCAAACAATGGTGTTTTAAACAAACTCAGAGGGGAAAAAAATGTGGCAATTGTCCTTTCCTTCATCAAGTGTAAAGACCAATCCTAACAATTCTTTGGAAAGTAAAAGAACCAAAATAACTCTGTAATTGCCCTGCATTACAGCTCTATCTGCAATTGAAGCCACAGTTAAACACTGGGAAATGTGTCAGCCCCTATAGGAGCTGGTCTCCAAGACAGCCCCCGATAACCTCCACGTCCTGGTAGTCACAGCCTTGTGTAGTCCCCTCCCATGCTGTATCAGGGATTCTGGGTGACCAACAGTCTGGCAGAAGTGTGGGCACAGCATTTCCAGACAAGGTCATGAAAGCACTGTGGCTTCCATCTTTCTCTCTCTCAGATCACTCACTCTGGGGGAAACCAGCTGCCATAAGCTACCTACGAAGAGGCCCCTGTGGCAAGGAACTGAGCCCTCCAGCCAACAGCAGTGAGGAACAAAAGCCCACCAACCTCCACCTGAGTAACCCCATTTAGGCCTTGATAACAACCTCTGAAGAGAGCCAGGCCTTGGCTTGGCCGCTCCTGGATTCTGTCCCCCAGAAATGGCATGAGATGACGTTTGTTGTTTTAAGCCACTAGGTTTTGGGGAACTACTCTGTGCAGCAAATAGACAGCTAACACAGTTCCTCACCCCCAAATGACTGACAAACCAGGAGAGGAAGTAAGGTGAGGGCAGAGGTGAACAGACCCTGTTTGAGTTTATGTTAAAAAAAAAAAAAAACTGAACATTTCAGAATGCATTGTATTTGCTTTATAAGGCAATAGAAGAGATGTTAAGGAGACATACCCTCTTCTTAAGTAGTTCTGAATACTCTGATATGCAGCATTAAACATTTCTAGGTCTTCTTTTTCTCCAAAGAGAATGTAAGATTTCAAGAGATATTCATAGAAGGAGTCCAGCCCAGCACCCAAGCCACTCTGCTTTCCAACCCAATGGCCCGTCTGAATGTTGACAACATTGCCTGCAAAAACAAACAAGGTACTTCAGGTCCCAGTTATCTTGGAGGGCAGGCAGGGAGGGGGACAGGCCACCAACACTAACACCACTGCTCCTCAGCACCTTTATCCTTTATCGGCAGCTTGGAGAGCCTAGAGATCTTTCTGAATATATCGTGGGTAACTGCTGACACAAAATGGGGATAAACATTTAATGCAAAATAAAAATAGGTTTGTCATTTTGCTTTTCCCAGATACATTTTTAAACCAAAAAGTGTTCACAGCCTTTAACCCAGTACTGCAATTCCTGGGAATTTATCCTTAAAAAAAAAAAATGTTTTTAAGAAGAAAAAGCATTATGTTGTTCATCAGAAAATTATATGTACTGGCCGGGCGCGGTGGCTCATGCCTGTAATCCTAGCACTCTGGGAGGCTGAGGTGGGTGGATCGCTCAAGGTCAGGAGTTCGAGACCAGCCTGAGCAAGAGTGAGACCCCGTCTCTACTGAAAATAGAAAGAAATTATCTGGACAACTAAAAATATATATAGAAAAAAATAGCTGGGCATGGTGGCGCATGCCTGTAGTCCCAGCTACTCGGGAGGCTGAGGCAGTAGAACCGCTGAAGCCCAGGAGTTTGAGGTTGCTGTGAGCTAGGCTGAAGCCACGGCACTCTAGCCCGGCCAACAGAGTGAGAGTCTGTCTCAAAAAGAAAAGAAAATTATATGTACTATACAAAAGAAAAAAAAGAAATAATCTAAGTGTCTAACATGAGAAAGAGTTAACGGATGATTACGTAGCTTTTAGAAATGGACAGTTACATAGCTTTGAAAACAAGGTAATGACTTGGAAATACTTGAATGACCTGCTAAATGGAAGGCAGAATAAAAATACTTGTTTATATTATAATTGAAAATATATAAAAGTGGCATGTGTCAGGCTGAAAGGACATATGGAAAGCTAAAAAGTCGACAATTTGGAGTGACACTGGTCAACCATTTCAGGACAGATTTACAATTTGAGTGACTTATTTCTATTGCTATTGTTAAATATGATAAATTTGCATATGAATTTTACAACTTAAACAGTTACATGAAGTAAAAACCCATTTTAAAATAACATCTTGAGTTAGCAAAAGGCTGATAATTACTGAAGAAGAATGAGTACATAGGGGTTATTATTCATTATGCTTTCTCTTTACTATTATATGTTTGAAACTTCCCATAATTTTTTAGCTAGGCATGGTGGCTCATAACTCTAACCCCAGCACTTTGAGAGGCCAAAGCAGGAGGATCGCTTGAGCCCAGGAGTTCAAGGCTGCAGTGAGCTATGATAGTGCCACTGTACTCCAGCCTGGGCAACAGAGTGAGACTGTCTATAAAAAAATAATAACAATGATTTTTAATGATGTCTTGACCAAACATTCTCAAGCAAAAAAAAAAAAAAAAAAAGAATCCCATACCTAATACAGATTTAATATGGGCTTTGAATCTACTACCACATGCCTAGATTTTTTGATTTTTTTTTTTGTAGAAATGGGTTCTTGCTATGTTGCCCAGGCTGGTCTTGAACTCCTAACCTCAAGCCATCCTCCCACCTCAGCCTCCCAAAATGCTGGGATTACAGGAGTGAGCCACCACACCCACCTCAGATGCGTAGATTTTTTAAAAGGAGAAAGCTGCTCTACCAGTAACTCTAAATTCCTATATTTAGAACCTTATATTGAAGCAATAAAATCTGCCTCAGAGGCAGTTCTTTTTATAGCATTTCCATTAACAATAGTTTTCAAGTGAAATAAGACAAGGGATCCAAATCAGAAGGGAGCCTTCAAATCACAAAAGCTTTATTCTTTTCCATCAAACTTTACAGCTTCAATCTAAGCAAAAGGTCACATAAAGAAATTGGATATGGGCTGGGCATGGTGGCTCACATCTGTAATTCTAGCACTCTGGGAGGCCAAGATTAGAGGATCACTTGAGCTCAAGAGTTCAAGACCAGTCTGAGCAAGAGTGAGACCCCAGCTCTACAAAAAATAGAAAAATTAGCCAGGCGTGGTACTATGCACCTATAGTCCCAGCTACTCAGAAGGCTGAGGCAGGAGAACCACTTGAGCTCAGGAGTTTGAGGTTGCTGTGAGCTAGGCCGACGCCAGGGCACTCTAGCCCGGGTGACAGCAAGGCTCTGTCTCAACAAAAAAAAAAAAAGGAAAAGAAAAGAAAGAAATTGGATATGGGCTGGGGGCAGTGGCTCACACCTGTAATCCTAGCACTCTGGGAGGCCAGGGCAAGAGAATCACTTGAACTCAGGAGTTCAAGACCAGCCAGAGCAAGAGCAAGACCCCATCTCTACTAAAAATAGAAAAATCAGCTGGGTGTCATGGCACACACCTGCAATCCCAGTTATTCAGAAGGCTGAGGCAAATGGATCACTTGAGCTCGGGAGTATGAGGTTGCAGTGAGCTACAATGATGCCACCACCACTCTACCCAGGGCAACAGAGAGAGACTCTGTCTAAAAAAAAAAAAAAAAAAAAGGACATGGCAGACACTGAGGGCCATTCTTTCTGAGTTATCGATTTTAAGAAGGGAGTGGAAAAGAGAGAGAGCCCCAGAGAAGATGAAAGGAAAGGGGACCAGATGGGATGCAGTCCCAACAGCAAGAAAAGCTGCTGCCACACCTAACAATCCTGTATCATCGCTCCGGAGGTTCCAAAGGGCTTTCACTGCTCGTCTGGCCACCCACTCAAACGTGGAATCTCCCAGCAGTCGGCTCAGAATCCCAAACTCCACCAGGAGGGAACCAGCTCCCGCAGTGCACGTCTCATTATTGCTGTCAGGAGGAACTCCTGTCTTTAGATTCACCTGGGGACAGGAAGAGACAAAGGCTTCATGGCAAAACTCAAGGAACCCACAGGGCTGCAAGGCCAGGTCACAGGCAGTACACTCAGCTAATGCACCTAAGCTTATCATGGTGAGAGTCAGCCCGCTGCTTCCCAAGACACATTTGAGATGAGCATGGGAATTAAATGTAAAAGACACAAACAAGAAAATAACAACACCAGACCCTGGTCTTATTAATAAAAGTAAGTCTTCAGGGAATAATTTTAACACTATTCACTAAACTACCTCTTTCCAGCAGGTTTTCTTCATGGTTAGGTGTTATAAACAAATGCAAACTACAGAATCACTTATAAATTTTAAGTGAGCTACTATGAACTCAATCCTGCTTAGCAAGCATAAACCAACCTCAGACTGGGACAGAAAGGAGGCGCAGCCAGAAAATGACAACCAGTTCCATCATGGAGGCTCTGTGGTCTGGTAATTCTCTGCTGGTTACTAAAAGGCTGACTCAATTCCCAGAGGAGGTCTAGGCTTGGCAAATCAGATGCCACAAAGACATAATCTCATTCTAGATCTTGGCATTTAAATCAGCATCTAACTTGCTAGTCTGTGCATACTTTTATTTGGAAGATCCATGTGAAGCATTCAAAAGAACACTCACTGAGCTTCTACAATACACATGTGAGGATCTCTGGGGAAATATACCCAAGTCAGAAATGAAGACAAATTCCCCACACTATTTTGTAGCAGAGAATATAAATCACACATGTAAAAGGACTTAAGAATACTGAACACAGGAACATAAATTCCTTAAGTGGAAGGATTAAGTCAGATATGTCACTATATGCCCAGCATAAAGTAGGTGCTTAGTAAATGCGAAATGAATTAAAAAACATGTATATCATATTTAGGGCCGAATTCTCCCAAAAATACTGCTTTCCTCTTTTATCTTAGCCCCGTCCCCTCCCCCACATAAATTAATAAAGAGAAAATTCAGGAAGATGGTGTGAGGTCAAACACAAAAGGTCAAACCAGTCTACCTACCCGAGGATAGGGGATCCCTGTCTTGGTGTTTTCAAAAGCAGGCAGAAGCCGCACAGCCAGGTCATGGGCCATGTGCAACAATTCATTATCATAATCCTTAATAGTCATGTCACCAAATGGCTGCTTGGAGTCAGTTATTATTCTGTGGGCAGAAAGGAGGCTTCCCAGGACCCTAATAACAGGAAGAACAAAAAAATAATAAAATCTCATTGCTTGTAAGTGCACACAATCCAATTTAGAAGGATAGAAGTGGCCTCTATTTCCTTGTGGAATCAGAACTGCCTGGAGTCAGAAAGACTTGACTTAATGGCCTCTTGAAGTCCTTTCCAGCTCTAATAAGAAATGACTGATTCTTAGTTAACCACATTACTGAACAGGAGAAAGGGAGGCTGAGGCTACCAAGAACAATACTATTTAAAATGTCTTTGGTAATCTGAATCTTAAGGCATTAAGAAAAGGGGGTATGCTAATTGGCAGCGTGCTAATTGTTCTCAGAATAAACATTCCCTATTAGTATTATTAAATTACTCTTGACTTATTTCACTTCGGGGGAAAAACTTAGTCATATAAGAAAAGGAGAAAGGAAAGACAACAAATACTAAGTAACTTTCGTAGTTTTGGCTGCCAAGCAACTGATGCACTTCTCCAACATCTGGTAAAGAGGCAAGGTAGCAGGAGGCGGAGAAGAAAATGAGAAAATGACCTTCTCAGAGGTAGGAGGTTACCAGCTTAGATCGACGTCCCTGTAGACCTATGAATGTTTCATTCCAATGATCTGAAGCGGATTGTGACATTTTTCAGAACAAATGTTTTCATAACTTTAAATAAATATTACATCTATAAACTGGAATGTCATGCAGTAATGCAATTTTCAAAAAATTTAAATTAAACCAAGGAAAACAGTCACAATATATCAAACTAAAGAAAGCAACATACAAAACTGGGTATATATGGGAGCATGATCCCAATACATTAAACAGAGAGAACAAGATTAGTGAAGAAAGAAATACACCAAAAGGGTAAACAGTGGTCTTCTGTGGGTGGGAGTTGAGATGGGAAACTCTCATTTCCCTCACAAATACGTAGTTTTCCTAGGACACAGCGAAAGAAAGAAATGAGACCAGAGATAAAGGGAAACCATGAAACTCTGTATCAGCTGGACACCGATCTTACACCCATGAAAACATGTCTTTCTCTTCAGTCCAAAATGTGATTACTTTGAAACAGCAATTATTCCAGTTTTGATAAATACAAAATGAACGTGAAAATTGCAAACTGCCCCCATAGACCTACATGGACTGTCTACCTGGATTTGGGGGCTATAAGACCCTTATGGGAATTATTCTTCTCACACACACAAAAAGAAGCCTTTAATCCATTTTATCTATGATTTTACCTTATTGTGGCCTCAAAGACTTGGACGGTGGAATCTCTGTCAAATGAAACTGTGTCGATCACTAACTTGACTGCTTTCTGGAACTCGGATGAATTGCCCATTATCTTTAAAAAGAGGAACACAAGTCATCACAGCAGCTTGAAATGAAACCGAGGCTACGTGATCACGGCAGCCAGGCCACCTCACCGCAACGTCTGTATGTGGTTTTGCCACCATAGGAGTAGATGCACAAAAAGTAGGAAAAGCACAGTTTTTCTCAGAATATATTCCAAGACAGATGGCAAGCCCATTTCCTCCAACTCAAGAGTCCTATCTCAGATGGCAAAACTGTGAAAATAATTCTTCATAAAAATCACTGGTACTTCTCACCTTCCCATTGCACTTCCTAAAAACTTCAGTCGAATCTCATTTAACGTGCAAGACATTGTAGTTCCTAAACTTCTGGAATGGGTAAAAATAAATCACCAAGTTGAAGAAACAACAATACGACTTTCCCTCTGTTCCTCAAATAAATCAACAGCCTGGGTGCTTGGCTCTCAGGAGACCAAAACATCTGGAAAACTGAATGAACTTGTTGCTTGTTATCCAAAAGTCTAAACACTTTGAGAAATGATGTTAATATCTTTTGGAGCATAGTATAAAACCAGTGACATTTAAAACAAACAAAACATACAAATAATTAGCTCTATGTTCTTTTTAAAAAGTGATTAGACTTATAATTCCTATTTTAAGTGGGTGGATATGATGTTATACCAAACTACTCTCTCCTATATGAAGTACAAATTGGGCACAAAATTTTATATATAAACCTGAATTGAAATGATTTCATTCTTTTTAAAATGTTGTGATAATCCTGAGATCACAATGACATCATAAGGATGCACATGAAAAAAATAATGTTTTAAACCCAAATAATTTCTTTGAAGTATGCCTTATTTCCTAATATTTATTGGTCTGCTACATCTTTTTTCCCCACTCATTGATATTCTGCTGTAACTAACATACAGAACAAGTACAGACTTTTTTTCTGGCTTTCAGTTCTTTCTTTTTAAAAGATTATGCAATAACGCTACAAGTTGCATCCAATGGCCAGGAGATTGCTATCTTCAGAATGTTTCTGTAGCACATCTGTTAAAGCTTGTTTAAAACGTTAGCAAAAGAAAAGGAAAACCTCAACATAAGTAACACCTGAAGCACTAACACATTAAAGGCCAGATATTCAACAACGAAAACCACAGAGATGGGTCTGTTTCCTTACAGATGTTCACCAGCAACAAAATCTCGTGCAGCTGCAGGTGCTGGTATGATCTCAGATCAAGTGGAGGATAGTGAAAGAAGCCAACAACTCTTAATTACATATTGAATTTACCATTGTGGTCGGATAGCTACAGAGCCCAGAGTAACCAGGCTATAACGTCATTCACTAGTTTGAGAAAAGCTGGATTGGACAGAAGAGTTAAGTAAGTGAGGGTTTTTTGGTTTTTTGTCTTTTTTTACTGTAGGACTTCCCAGAGCCTTTAAAACGGTGACGTGCATTGTGGTTCTCCAATACAAAGACAGACATAAAGAATTTCTCAAGTTCGTATGGGAACAGAACTCTTCTTTCAGGGAGTATACCCTTGAAATCTGTGTTGGGAAATGCTGGATTAGTAGGAATTCACTTTTTATCAAATATTTGTACTCCTACTATGTACCAGACACCATTAAGTGTGGGGGAGGGTACCGTAAATAATAGAGATAAGGTCTCCATATTCAACAAGCATGCCAGGGGGATGAAAAGACACAATGGGAAAAAAAAAAAAAAACAAAGCACTCAGGGAGAAGGGGTGAGCTTTCGTAAGCTATGCATGAATCTTAGGGCTTTTCCTTTTAAGCAACACTTGTAGGCTGAGTCAGCCTCTGCTATCTTCAACAAGTTGGCTCTAATTAAGGCTGCACGTACTTGTACTTGTCTGGACACATTTTGATCGGTGATGGCGGACGACTGCAAGGGAGCAGGAATAACTTCAGAAGGAGCTATTGGGAAACTAAATAGCTCCACAACTGAAACCTCTCAGAATGAAATCCAGCACCCTCAATTTCTTATTAGGCCAAAGGCCTATTCCTATTTCTGCTACTTATTTATAAAATGAGGATGTAGAATGATCTCACAAGCTCTTTCCAAGTTCTGGTAATTCTACTACTAGCAAGACACCGGACAGTTGTAATACAAACTTAGCTAGCATTACCCAACGCTAACTCCTAACAGACAGCTTTAAACTTTTCTATGGAATGTTAGAAGAACCAAGAATAAATTATTAAATACAGGATTTGGGCCAGACTGCCGTGGGAATCTTCTCATGGTAAAGGCTTGCTGGACAATGAAGGAGAGCAAAGAGGTTGTAAAATCACCTTTACTAAGGAGATTTAAAACCAGTGCTATGCTGGAACACAGACCCTTGGAAACTGCATTCTATGGCAGAAGGTCTTGGAGCAGAAGAAGTGTAGACACAGCCTGGTAATAAGTACCATGTCCCTAGTGCTTCACTGCCTTCAGTGTGCTGCTGCGTATCTGTTCAAAGGTCTCCAGTTCCCCAGAGTCAATGAGCAAAACCACAGGATAAGGACATAAAGTCAGCATCCAAGTTGGCAGCTCAAGCATGGAGTGGAGCATCCACAAAACACACAGCAGCAAATCACAGAGGTGTGTTTATAGAAAGCCCCACATATAAGCTTGCACCAGAGCTCAGACATGCTCCTGAGGAGCCAGTGGCTAGCTAATATTTCAGGGTACAAATCAACCCCGAGATCTCTGTCTTACTCCTGGAATATTATCTTTAGTAACTGTCAATACTAATGAGAGTCTCTATCGATTCCTTTAGAGAATAAGAGAGTGGAAAACTGAGAGAAAAGTAAGCTCTCTAAAAACAAACATACATTTCTTCTCCATTTTCTTTAAGAAGAATCACATTTCCCCTCATTTAACCTTCAATGCTTTTCTTGCACTCCCTATTAAGGTCCTTAAAATAAATAATAGCTAACAAAGCTATCGATACATTTTGTTTCCTGGAATTCCCACTGCTGGGGTAAACTAGGGGTAATCAACTCCAAAACATCTTAATTAATTAATAAAAAAGAAAGGCTGAACACTTACTGCAAGTGTATCCAATGCATCAACAAGAGTCAATGAATAGTTCCCTAGTACATCATTGATGTTCAGATTTGAACTGAAAAAGAAATAAAATTAAAATTAAACATAGGAACTTTATTTTAACAGAGAAAAAAGACAATAAAGTTAAACACCCATCAGAAACTAAAATTGCCAGAACTCTTACTTATTCAGGAACTAATTATGGGGAAATAAGTATGGCAAAGGTTTTTTTTTTTGTTTTTTTTTTTTTTGAGACAGAGTCTCACTCTGGTGCCCTGGGTACAGTGGCATCATCATAGCTCATTGCAACCTCAAACTCCTGGGCTCAAGTGATCCTCCTGCCTCAGCCTCCTGAATAGCTGGGACTACAGGCCCATGCCACAACCCCCAGCTGATTTTTCTATTTTTAGTAGAGACAAGGTCTCACTCTTGCTCAGGCTGGTCTCGAACTCCTGACCTCAAGTGAACCTCCCACCTCAGCCTTCCAGATTGCTAGGATTACAGGTGTGAGCCACCACACCTGGCTGGCAAAGGTCTTTCTATCTCAAAAGCAACAGTTTCTATAGTGTCTATAAGTAGAATCGAGTCACGGAACTGCAGAGACATTTGTACTATAAGTGGAAAGAACATCATGGGAAGTCAGCAGACTGTGAACGAGAGTCATCTGCCCTTTCTGAGTAACAGTTTTATCACCACAAACAATCTCTTTGATCCTGTCCGATTTCAAAAGCTGATTTTGCAATCATTAGGAACTAAAGGAAAGACCTTGTCACATGACCTACCTTTAATACTTTAACACAGAAATGAGACACTACAGCCTATTACACACAAAAATAAGTAAACACCTTAAGTCACAGTCTCAATATTACTCATCCGTCCTTTGGCTCAGGGAATAAATTAACTTCCTTCCCCTATTTTTTCAGTAACATCCTCATCCAAAGAATCCCCATTATTTCCCCTGATTCTGAGGCGATGTCTTTCAACATGAACCAAAGCAGGAATCGAGGTCCTCTCCCTTCTTGACTGGAGCATTGATGTTTCTGCCACATACCTCTCACCCTGCCATCAACGCCAAGTTTCCATTCTGAAACAATCTCAAGAAACCAATTTCTGGATGACAACAAGGGTAACACTCCTCAGGCACTCTGATATTACTTTATAACACTAAAACGGATAACAACAACAAAAACTGATACATCTGGGAGGGCAGGGATGGAGTAGTAGTGCAAGTAATAAAGTACAGCTTGAGAAATCCTGGGGACTTCATTTACTCCTTGATCCCACTCCCATAAACCCAGAAAATAACTGCAGGTGCTTAGGGGGAAAGGATGGTAAGCTAAGAAATAAGAGAACTGGTTAAAGATTTTATTAGAGACCGAACAGAAAATGTCCCAATTTTATTTCCAGCTACAGATACACTGATATCTGACGTCTTCCCTCATATGCCCAGAGCACTTATCTGCTCCTTAGACCAAGCACCCTACTGGGTGGGTGTCTGTCTCCCTTCCCTGGAGAAGCTTCAGGTGAACAGCACCTTCCCTGTTGCTGACGCTTGCTGTGCTCTCTGGAAGACCTCCTGTGAGCCTCAGTTGGAGTGAAATGGGCCTTACATGACACAGCATAAACAACTTCAATGTCTGATCTCTCTGAACCTTCAGTTACCTTGTTTTATGCTATTATTCCACCTAATCTAGGGCGAAAAATGTATAGCATAATTTTAGATGCATTTTTAAAAACAAGCTATATAGAGGGGGCTATCTAGGAAGTAGGGCTATCTCATCTCGCACAAGCCAGGAAGTTAACAAACTGCATGGCTGAAAACTGCATCTGCTTCTGCTATTTGTTGATTCTTTTTAAATAAATTTATATTTAAAAATCCATAGCTCAGGGTGAGAGCTATGGATTCAAATATGCCTCTCAAGGGCAGTGCCAGCCAAAAAGTGTACAAGAAATGCCAAAGGTTGGAGGCGGAGCTAAAAGGAGACAGATCCCCATGCTCAATTGTGCCAACTCAAGAACATTCTGCTGGGTATAAATATTTAACTGTGTTGCTCTGCTGCTCGGAAACAAAGAATGGGCTCCAACAACCCACCTCATCAGAAAATAGTTCCCTCATCATTAAGCATCCAAGCTAGACAGTGATCAAGAGAACCACACGTAACTGCCCGCTCTTGAATGCCACCCTATCTGTGGCGTGTGTCATTCTCTCCACCTGCACAGGCCCATCATGAATTTTGAGCATTGTACTCCTTCCCAAGTCTATAACTGAAATGGACCCAGTTTTAAATACTCCTTGATGCAATGAATGCCCAGTCACTGATGACTTGCCACAGTAAAAAGAAATAGGAACAAAAAAGAGTATTTGCAGTGTCTGTGCAATTCCTCCTTCCACTCTAGTCAGACAAATCCACTTGAAGATCTGGGGTGTTCATTAGAACATTTTAATTCTTTTCAACTAAATAATTGCTATACACTCAAACTGTGACAAAATAAAGAAAAGAAAAAGGGGGAGGGGAACGAAGGAAAAAATAGACTTCATAAAATCCTCAATAACAGCATGAAATTATTATGACTCCTTTTTATGTCAGCCCACTATGCAGGTGAGACTGCGGATTTGTTCTTTGTAGATATTCTTCTCAATGTCCAGGCTGACCTGATACCTTTAAGTGCCTCAAGCCAAGAATTCAATCTTTCAGTATAAGATGAGGCTCACAAGTGCACGTTTCCACGTGACCAGCTGGCTGAACCACAGTTAAACTCTCTGCCTAATTTACCATATGTGAATGTTCATGGCATTCACTCCAATGTGAATTTTCAAAGTTCTTATCACCTCAAAGCAGAAAAGATAAAGAAAACCATTGCCTTTGATAGAAAATTTTTGATGCTGTAGGTAACAAAAATCAATTACATGTGTTTTTAAAAAGTTCTGATGTATACCTAACCTGTAATGGCTGCTCAGAAACCTATCTGGTGCTGTGTAGGCACAGAGATAAGCTCAGAAATAGTCCCTGCGTTCAAGGGATTGACAAGATGAAGGGAAATGAAGGTGAACACACAACAATACTCAATTTTCAAATAACATCAAAATGTGCAAAATCAGCTCAAAGAAAAGGAACCAAAAGGAGAAATGAGTAAACCAAAGAGAATCAGCTTTAGTTAGATGGCGTCACAAAAAAAAGACGTGAGCCTGACTCTGAAGGAGGGCAGGACTTCAGAAGGAAAGGGGGAGGCAGGAGCCCATCCTACAACAGGAGTGCCTAGAAATGAGTCCCTTCAAAGGCCAACATTTGTTTGGTTCGTTAATTTGAGATTTGCTTTTTTGTTTTACTAGCAATATGGTTGTGGACAAAGGGAGAATGGTTCACATGCCCAAGGCCCGGAACTGTAACTATTCAGAGGATTGCAAAAATATAAATCCAAATTTACGCAATGCAACTTTGAATCTGGATCCCCCAACACAAATTGGGGATGTGAGAGGTACTGACTGCAGAGTATTATGCAGCTGGACAGAAAGATTCGCTGTTTTTAAGTGTTCAGGTTTTATTTACTTCATGCTAACTCCCTACCCAACCCCCAGGCAAACAAAACAGGCAAGATAAGCCTCAAGTTCATGTGAT